ATGGAAAAATGGTAAAATTTTGTTTTTATTAAAATATAGATTCTTGTAATGTAAAAAATAAAATATTTTAACTTCTGCTTTCACAGCAGATGTTGTTCCCTGGAGATTCCCTGATGGTCACTGTAACATATTTTGACTTGTGCTTTCACAGCAGATTTCACCGCAAACAGGAACTTTCACGTAAGATTCCCTGAATGTTCACAGATTTCCATCAGCGAACCTTCAGGAAACGTTCCATGAAAATGGTATGAGCGTTACCCCTAAGGGTTCCCTGATGGTTCTCTGATGGTTACTGTGAAAAACCTTTGTACTGTGCTTTTCTAGAAGGTTTAACAACAAACAGGAACCGCCCAAATGTTCCCTGAAGGTTACTGTTTGCTGGGTTTCTAAATATATATATATATATTCCTGTATTTTAAAGATATATTCTCTTGGCATGGTAAACAAACAAACAAACAAACAAAAACGATATTTGCTCAAAGTAAATGTCTGTTAAAATACCTTTTGTTTTTTTTACAGTGTGCTGTATCTGTATGACTGTGTGGCTTCAGTGTGAAACGTGAGCTGCTCGACAGCTGCAGCAGCAAGTGCGCACAATGAGGACAGGCACTGCGCTTCAATAAAGGCTCCATGCGCCTGTTGTAGAGCTCTGAGCGCTGATGCAGAGCAAATAACGGAGGCTTTGTCATTTCTACCAGACAGCCGTCTTTTTATTTCCACTGTTGCTTCCACTACAGAGCCCAGGGAGCACAGCGTTCCTCTTGTGCTGCTGCTGCTGCCGCCGGAGGCTCGGTGCTCCAGACGGGATGCGGGGTCCTGAACCTGATGCGGGGTCCTGAACCTGCTGCGGGGTCTTGAAACTGCTCATGTCTGGACACGCAGAGAGGCAGAAGCTCGTCCGATAAGCGACCCGAGCAGCGCAGGCTTCAGGTCCAGAGTGTCCTTCGATGCAGCGCCGCCGGCTTCCAGCATCATTTGCATCGCGGTTTGTTTTGGGGAAAGCAGCTTTAACCGTCGGCGTTGTTGTTCCTTCACACACGAGATTTCACTGGTTCGTCTGCTTTGGTTTTTCCTGCTGAATTCACACTTCTTTAATCCTGGATGAAGGAGCAGACTGCAGGACTCATGGCGCACTGACTGGGTGCGTTTACAGCTCAGCTTTTTGTCTGCTTTACAGCTACTGTTGGCCACATGGATGGTAATTTTAATTTGTAATCTGTGCTACAGCGTTGTTACTATTAACAGATGTATTTTTCAGCAAATAGTATTGTAAAATAAATTTTAAAAATCAACGTAAATGTCTGCAGTGCCATTGCGCCATTTGGAGCACTTTTCTGACTGCACTTTGCTCTCTAGTGGACTTTATATTCGACATTTTTTGAATGTAGCCTTCAATTTTCGAGTGCAACTAGTAAACTGTAGACTAAATTAATAATATATTTACCATTTAAACTGGGTAAAGATGTGTTTTTTTCTTCCTGGAGCCTTTGGAGAGCTATCTTTGCCTTTGGATGCACCTGTGCACTTTTGGAGAGGTCCATTTGGATTCGCAGCTCACTTTTGGCACCGCTGGATTTTACCCTCCTGAAAATATTTTTCTTCGACTTTTTTTGGTCGTGTTCACAAGAAAAAATGTCTCTTTGACTCCACAATTCCATCAATGGAGTATTTGTAGCCTCTCAGAGATGCTCCAGGGTTTGGCAAACGCAGTAAACGCAGCACAAAGTCTGCAAGAATTCAGCTGCGCACTCGCTGACAATTGCGCTTCAGTATGAACTGTATGACTGAAGGATGGACGAGAATAAGTTGAATTCATAGGGGTAGGACAGAGTCTATATGAGGAGGGGGCTTTGCTATTTAGAGCCTCTGATATAGCATTTTATAATGGAATATTGGAGCATATGTCTATTTGGGGCCAAAATGACCATTTTTGGATTTTGGGGGCTATCTGGGCTCTTTTTAAATGGTTTTATCCATTTGGATCACCCCTACATTTTCAACATACATGGAAGTGTCCTTTTTTGCAGGGATTGCTGGGAAGAAGAAGGAGGCTGTCGAAGTTGGGACTTTGGAGAGGGAGGTGTAGGCAGATCCACACTGAAAAAGGTAAGAAATCCTGTGTTTTGCTGTGGCCAGTGGACTCTAAAGTTGGCTGAGAGGCAGATGGAGGCGGTTTACTCCACATTTAGATGGAGAAATGGAGGTTTTCAGGTGTATTTTGGTGTCTTTTTTGGTGTAATTGAACAGGGAGGGTCAGGCCATTATGGTGCACCAACAAGGAAATATAGAGGCACGGCTAGGGGGAGCCAGAGCGGGGCAGGAAGGCAGCCGGCTGGGCTCTCAGCACCGGGGCTGTTGTGCTTATTTTAGTACTCACAAACATTGTAGGACTCCGGATGACACTTCATTGTTGCGTGTTCACCTTCATTAGTGCAATTGTTGTCTGGACTTTATCAGCCTCTGGACTCCAGGAGTGTCCAAGCTGCCTCACAGCCTGCAAACACACAACTAACTGTGAGGAAACATGAAGAAACAGCAGGAAACCTTTCACATCAGACACCAAAATGCAACTTTTGTACTTCAGGAGCAATTTTTAATAAAGAATGAAGTATAAATATGGATTAGCTTTGCATTGCTGTGATCATAGAAAACATTCAAGATGGCCTCTCTACTGCTGGGAAACAGGTGAGAGCAGCTTCCTGGTCTGAGTGACAGAGCACCTTGCTTGCAGCCAACATAGAGCTTGTCCACTGAACAAATTATTCAATTTTACATTTTCCTGTGTCTATTGTTGTGTAGACGCACATTGCTATATAAGCTGAGTCTCTGAGCCACAGCTTTAGACTGTGTGACTGAGATGTGGGAGTGTTTTGTCCTCTCTAAAGGCCATTTTTAAAGGCCCTGCAGTCACACAGCAGTGACTGATCCACCCACAGAGGAGGTTTCAACACCCCAACAGCTGGAATTCAACCTAAATATAACAGTAATAAGCACTTTTATTAACATCAGACACTAAAACAACTAGAAATTATTAAAATTTTTGTCTCACAATGAATATATATATATATATATATATATATAATGGCTGAGCTTGCTTGTTAAGTGATATCTTTAAAGGTCAAAGGTCAATTTTGGAATCATTTTATTGACACAAAGGGTTAATTTATTGTTGAAAATATTTACACAGCTGCCGGGGTTGGTTTGATTTAATTCTTTTTGTGGTAAATACAGCTCAGTATAGCCACAGTATTTAAAAAAAATCCAAAATGTGACAGCAGTGTTGCTTCTCTGTGGCAAAAAAACTACCTTTAACCCTTTAATTACCTGTGCGTCCTCTCGAAATTCACTGCATTATGTTCAGAAACAGACCTGTAGATCATCCTCTGTGAAAATAAGCACACACAGTAAAGCGATATTACACACCTAAGTATTATTCGATCACGATTTCGTCTTCATCCAGCAACAACTGTGAAGCAAAGTAGCATTCTTAGTTGGAAAAGTGCAAAAAATGAACACTTGTGGAAATAATATATGGCTTTCAACACAAAAAATGACTAGATGTTGATTAAAATATGATAAAATCTTGCAAATATTGCCTTTAACAAGCACCTTGTGGAGATTTAGTGTCATTCTGCAAGAGTTTTCATGCGTTGATTTCACAAGTAATCAAATCACTTGAGTATTTCCTGGTGTTTTTGTCGATTACATACATTTAAACGCATCTCTTTGAGTTAACCAGAAGCTAAAGGGTTAAGCTTGAGGCAGAGTCAGGGCTTTCAGTCCACAGTGGTGGTGCTGAAATCAGACAGCGGTGAATGTTCAGGGAGTTTTTCTGTTTTTGTGGGTAAATTACTGCCCCTTGTGGTGGTCACGGGGATTTAAACAGAAAGGAAAGCAAAACAAAACCTGGCGCTCGGTGGCAGAGGCCTGTTTCATCCTGCTCAGATACTCGACACAACACCGGTGTTGTGATTGTGTTTGTGTCATAATCTCTGAGTGTGTAACACGTGGCGTTACAAGATCAGATGATGCGCAACACACCCACTCTGTCCTTTTTCTCGGTTCTCTGTCCACCGTCAGGCCTGGACTTGTGGTAAAAAATACTCCTGTATGATCTTATTTTAACAAATACTGAGTGTCAGCAGAGCTTTTGGTGCTGATTTCAGTTTGACATTGACATATCTGTTGCCCTGCTCTGAATGAACACACTCCTCCTGTTATATAATAAACAAGTTCTTCAGCTCGGTCAGTCTGGAGTTTGAGTCCCTCCCAGTCAACAGCTGCTTCCTCATTCGGCTTGCTGCTGCTGCTGCTGCTGCTGCTGCTGCTGCTGCTGCTGCTGAGGAGCTATCAGCTCGGTCCATAGAAACACACTGACAGCCGCCTGGTGCTGAAAGACTCGAGTGCTGTCGAGGCTGTTAACTCCTTCACTGCTGAAAACTGCAGCCAGGAACCAACGAAAATCAGCTCACTTTGTGGTTCAGAGGGACAAAATCAACCAAAAGCAGTAACATTCAGGTTGGATGCATCTGCAGCTGCCTGAAAATGTGACTCCAAAATGCTGCTGCCCCTCACACATTTCACTCTCATAGCGTTAAGAATGTTTTAGAGACATCTGCCCTCTGATATTAGCTATAAATAGCACCTGTCCGATAAATGGAGTCCGTTTCAAACAGGCATTAGTGCAGCCAGTGCTGAAGGAACCCAGATAATCACAAAAATAGCAATAAAAGAAAATAAAATCCACAGAACATACATTAGAAAAGGCAAAGAGATCCAAGGAATCCTTAGATTAGTTGGGTTTTCAGGTGTATTTTTTGAAGGATATTTTTGGAAAAATTAATTAATGTACGTATTCATTAAATTGGGGTTGTACATTTATATCTAAATTAGCTCAGTAAATCTTCGGTTAAAGCATTATATGTTTTTGATGTAAAAATATAATAAAAATGTCTTTAAAAATATATTTAGATTTTCTATATAATTTTAGTGTTACAGTAGTATTTTATATATTTTAATTTAATTTGCATATTTTTTTACATAATATATTTTATATAATTGGCGTAAATGTTTACGTTGTACAGTACATATTTATTTTATATATTGTATTTTGTATATTTTTAAAAAATGTTTTTGTAGTATTTAAATCATTACTATGGAAATTCACGTCATAAATAACACTACTAAAATGCTTGCACTTGTTTGGTTCAGTTGGAGTGTTGTTCAGTTTCTTTCCCATTTTAGCACAGCTGCTGTCGTTTTAAACATGTTGCACGTCTTGTTTCTGAATCTACGTTTGTTTTCTGTTCCAGAAATCATCCTGATCAGCATCTGCATCCCTGGTTTTGTTTTTCCTGAGTGAGGCAGTGTAATGTAAGCATCAACAACTCTTCAACAACATCTCTGTCACCATTATTTGCCTGCAGTGTTGGAATATTGTGTGAAACTGCCATGAAATGCTGAACTGATCAGTTAGTGATGCAGTAGAGACGAGTTTAATGCGAGAGTCAGCTGGATGTCAGCACAGCGTAAATGTTGCTGTTAGATCACATCAGCCTGTTGTCTGTAAACTGCAGCAGAGACAAGACCTTTTCCTCTGTTCATCATTGTCATTCATGGACAACTGGGGCTTAACAAACTGTTTTGTTTTTGCCTGTTGGCTTCAAGCAAAATGATGAATATTTAAGAAAGAGTTTATATTATTGAATATTCGTGAAAACTAAATCCGGAGTTAGGGCTCCACAAGTAATCAAATTTTAATCACGATCACGATACTGGCTTCCAGCGATCAAATTTGCGCAATCGAGCGATATTTAAAATGTGTAATGCTGTGTTCACACCAGACGCGAGTAAAATCGTTCGTGCGAATGACTTACATGTAAAGTCAATGTGAAGACACGAGTAAACATCCTGCGGCGCGACTCGCACGATTACTGTGGCGCGGTTGACGCGAATTGAGCGAGTTATTCGCACGATTCTAGAACTTCTCTGAACTTTTGCAATCTGACGCGCCACGATGGCCAATCAGCCTTGAGATTCTCTGGTGACATCAACAACATGATTCATTCAGTTTTTCACAACTCCACTGTGATTACTGATTGATTTACTTTGGAGTTTTATTCACATCCAGTTTATAATTTAGTTTAGAAAATATATTTACAGAATGGAAATGGAAACTAGTGCCCTGTTTTGTTGCCTTTTCATTATTCTTTTATTTATCTTTGTTTATTTTTTAAGGAGTTGCACTGAATTTTGGAGAAAAAGAGGACGTATTTTTATTTTTAAGCACATATTTGCACATTAGCAGGAATGTAGCACAATATATGGATGTGAAAACAGTTATAATAAGTCTGTAAAACAATAAAATTTGTTTTGGTTAAAATCAACAAATAATCTTGATAATTAACTGTGATTTCAATATTTAGCAAAATAATTGTGATTATCATTTTGGTCATAATTGTGCAGCCCTATCCGGAGTAAAACAATACGTTGATCCTGCAGCTAATACAGATGTTTGATGAAAAATGATCCTGTTGTTTTGACAAACTTGCACCCAGAACGTCTCGTTTTGATAAATGTGTCGTAATCATCCTGACGATCAGAGAAAAGTGACCTCTGTGTTTATGGTTCTGTCTCAGATCTGCGTCCTCGTCTTCACGCAGCGAAACAGCAGCTTGCCATGATGGAAGAGGAGATCAGCGAGGACCGGGCCAAGCTGAAGCAGGGCCTGGTCAAAGTGCTCCAGTGTGTGGCCACCATCTCCTCCGCTGCCGCCGTGGTTAACCCCATTTTCGGCGTGGCTGGCTCCCTGATCCGGGTGGTACTGCACCACGTAGACGACGAGGACATCCGCACCCTGAAGCGTGAGTTCGGCTCGGTGAACCGGGCACTGGATGAGCTCTCCCAGCAGAACCGCAACACGCTGGTGCAGATCAAGAAGGAGACGCTGGACGGCCAGTACTGCCGCGTGGAGGAGAACCTCAAAAACCAGTTTAGGAAGTTCATGGAGATGGTGGAAGCACGGCCGGAGCACCGCGAGCGCAAGAAGGACGACTTCGAGGAGAGCTACTCCAATGACTTGGGCGACCAGAACCTACACACGCTCTACGATGGTGTCGTGGGCAAACCGAAGCTCTTCAGCAGACCCATCCTGGAGGTGTACATGAAGCACTCGCAGGGTGACCGGCGCACCATGGAGCGGCTGTGCACCCGCCTCACCTACTTGTTCTGCATTGGCCTCATCGCCCTCATGGGCTACGCCGCCGTCATCGGAGACGACGAGGAGGGCCTGAGCGAGGAGTGGGCTGAGAAGATGGAGCACGTGCAGGAGAAGATGCAGGAAGCTCTGCGCAGGTGCAAATGAAGACAAGGGATGCTCCATGTCCACATCCCCACTATAACTCTGTCTTCTTCCTCCTTTGCTTTTCCTGTCTTGATAAACACTTTTCAAGCATCTGCGCTAAAGCCAAAACACTATTTATCCAAACTCGCTGCATATGTAAGTGAAGCGGTCTTTGAGACACAAGCACCATGGCACGCAGCTTTAACATTTATAGCTAGTGTGGAAGTGTGCTGCAGACATCCATAATTCAGTTTTTCATTGTCAAAAAGAATATTCCAGGTATTGACAGATGACGTCTCCTTTACCGTTAATGTGTTTCTCGTTACAGATATTTGCAACTGAATTCTGACTAGTTGTATCCCAGTTTCAATAACTGCTGATTTATTGTGAGCTGTCATAATTGTAGTTTGAGATATCTTTAGGATATCTTCAGGATTTCTACGTCGTCCTTTTTAGATTCTTAAATCAAGTTTGAACTGAATCATGTTGTAGAAATCTGCAGCTGAATTCTCACTAATCAGATATCTTGGATTAGAGCTTTGACTCGACAAAATGACGTTGCACGAAGAAATTCTGTTAATTTCGACAACAAAAAACATTAGTTGATGACAGATTTTTTTTACGCTGAAAATTAAACTATAACTAATTAAGAACAAATTTTTCAAGATGAGAAAAATGACGTAAAAGTTAACACTTTTAGTCAATGAATTAAAACTAAATGACACTTTTCTAGATAGAAAAATTAACAGCATCTGTGGAATCAACATGGCAGCTCCTGATCAAAATCAACATAAAATTTATCAGTTGGACCTTTTACCTAGTGGTTCCTGCAAATAAACATATTTAAAATACTGTGAACATGCAGGCAGCTGAAGGCATTTATAAAATCCTAGTACAGCTCTAGATTGACCATAAGCGCTATGTTAGTGTTGCTGTCAGAAGGAAGGAGTCAGTTCCAGAGTTTGAAAATGCTAACCGGATGTACTCGCTGCAGGGCATCAAGGAGCTCCTAATGGTGAAAATGCAAAAATGACACTAAAACATTGTTAATGAAAACGAGACTAAAGAGCTTTTCGTTTTTGTGACCAAGACTAATAAAAATCTAATGATTAAAGTCAAACTAGCACACATTTTTGTCAATTTATTTTAAAAAAAATCTAAAGCAGCTGCTAAATGAACAAGTGTTCCAAATGTAATTGTTATCACTGCAACTGGAATTATCCACAAGTCTCTAATTCTACACAAACTCAGTTATTTCCTGCAGATGCTGACAGTTCAGACCAGTCATGATGATGCTTTGGATGTCTGCAGCTGCTGTTCTTAAGAGTCCAAACTGAATCACAGAGCATCTCTACGTTAGTAATATCTGTCATTTCAGCTATTAAATGTTAAAACTGCTTTTTTTCCCTCGCCTGGTTTGTGTTGGTTTCTAAAACTGGCTAAAATTCACTGACAAATTCTTGAAGATACAAATGTGGTTGTTTTATCTGAAGCAGAAAGCAAATTATTAATCAGCTGTGGGATCTCTATGCTGCACCAACAGCTGAACTACTTTTAGTGAGCACTGTGAGGGATCTGCATGCCGTACACATGATACTGATGATCTGTTTCTGGGTTTTCTTCTTGACTTGTATCCCCAACTTTATGCACTTTCTATTGTAGTTTTATGGGAAATATATATATATATATATACACAAATACAACACTACAAGAAAATCAGCGTGGTGTAAAAATGCTGGGCAGCCTGACTTAACAAAACCAAGGAGCATCCCAAAGTTTCAGAACTATGAATGTAACTGCAGCCACATTTGGGCATTTTCATTTACTGCATGCAATCGTGTGCAAATTAGTAAAATACGCATCACAGATATTTTTATGTTTCTTACGCTGAATTGAATTTCATTTTACACTAATATTTCTGATGCTGCTGCAAAGAGTTCTTTACTTTCTAGGCCAACTTTAGGTTGGAAAATTGAAAACGCTAATGAGTACAAATGAAATCTTTTGTTGATGTACATCTGACAAAAACTAAAAAAAACAACTAAACTTCACCAATGCCAGAAACAATCGTAGCCATGATGGTTGCATCTGGATTCTGTTAATGTTAACCTGAGCACTTCTGCAGCTCCTTTATTTTCTCTTTAATATGCAAAACGGCTTTTGAGTAAAAGCAGGACAAGTGTGTAACATGTGCCGAAAATCATCTGTGGGGTTCTTTGGTGTGAGTCTTTGTTCGATGGGTTTTCTTTAACTTAAACCTCTTCATGCTCCTCCTCCTCCACTGACCAACAGTGCCTCCTCGGTGGTCCATTACTCTGATACTATTTTCCTTACTATTAAGAGGTTAAATCATTTTTGTAAATGTCTTTTTTTTTCTTCTTTTTTTTTAAGTGAACTGATTGCATCAGTAGTGTCAGATGGGTTTATTTCAGTGCATCAGAAAACATGACACTGCTCTCCTGCTTTCAGTACTAAACGGGTCGCGGCAGCGGCCACTTCTCTTTTTGTTACGACACTATTCGCTGTCAATGTGGAGGAAGACTAAGAACCTCTTATAAGGCTTTTTTGAAATGTCATATATGTGAATATGTTGCCTTTTTTGTTATGGATATTTGATGCCTGGTTGTATATGCGCCACTATAAATAAACATGAGTGAATGAATGATGCTGACTCAGAGTTTTGAATGAAGCCAAAAAGCAAAAATTAAAAATAACAATTACAAGCCAGTCAGTTTTTTTTGTTTTGTTTTTTTTGAATTTCTGTGTGTGATTGGTGTTATCTGAGCAGGTAAAAATTATATTTCTTGATCTACCACTGCGTGCAGATGGACTGGAGGCCTGCAAATAACTGAATTATACTAAAAAACTAACAGGGAGAAAAACGGTGTTCCAGAGTTTGGGGTGCCAAATAAATACTGTTACAAAAATACCATAATTGGCTTGTCCTAATTTTACACAAACTCGTGTGACTGTAGCTGATCAATAAAGGCTTTTTTACATATGTAGAAACAAATCATATATTAACCATTTTTAAAGCAAATTTTATTTTTAAAAAAAAGTAGCTTTACATACAAAAACTGTGAAAAAAAGTTTGTAACTTTATATTATTTTCACACATTTATTTTCTGTATTTTCTGTGATCTCATTCTGTAATCACATAATGTTTTTCATTTGTAAAATCTGTGTAAAAAATACGGTTTTTTTCCCGGCTGTCCCTAATTTTAAACATATAGTTAATCCATTAAATAAGGAATGCAAATTAAATATTTATGAAAATACTTAAAATTAGTAATTTTAAAAAAAACTGTCTCTGGTTTTAAAAAAAAAAAAACTTTTCTTTTTTAGGCAATTTATGGTTCTTCATAATTTGGATTTTTTAAAATTTTATTTTATTTTTTGTTTTACAATAAACATTTAAACTCTGAAAACGTTTTCCTATAAAATAACTCTAATTCTCTACGTTTTATGTTTTTTATTGGTCCTTTGGAAATGTTGTGCAATAATAATGGAACAATCTAATGTGAAAATAAGCATCTACATTTAGAATAACAGATAAAACCTGATAATGTGGTTTCGTTGCTGAAAGTATGAAGCTATGAGACATGCTTCTAGTTATTAAATATTTAAACCCTCGTCTTACATCACCCAAAAACCAAACGACCTGTACTTATATTTATAGTGCATCATGCTTGGACAAATGGAAGCTCTTCATGGTATTAAGTCAGAAACGTACAACACGTCCTCAAGTGCAGTTCATCGATCTGTGCGCAAGAGGACGTCAGTACCTCACTTGCGTCGCTTTAACACCTGTTTTCTCTGAACTCCTCGAGGCCCCGCAGCACTGATGCATCTAAAATGTGTTTATTCTGAACCGAGCTGCTGTCTGAGCAAAGCAGCTTAAATTCATTCCCCAGATCAAAAGAGGCGGAGCGGAGGTGCAGGTGAAGTGAGCTGTCCGGGATTGAGTCCCTCCGGCATAACCCTCAAGCACCAATATGCAGCTGAACAGGTTCGACCGTCAGTGGTTGAACCGAAACAGGAAAATGTGCGTTTCAGGCATTTGCAGCTCAGATTTGAGGCTCTTACCTGCAGCCCGATGAGCGTCTCTGAGCCACGTCCCCCGTCATGGGATGGAGCCGCTGTTTGATCTGTTCAGGAGCTGTTCGTGTCGAGGAATTCATCGACAACTACGAAGAAGACAAATAAATCCAGATTATTTCAGTAAATTAAATATAACAAAGCTCGAATATTAATGTTCGGACATGATGGGAAAGACTTGGTGGTTTGGGAGGAAGATGATTTTCGGGTGAGAGAGGCTGGGAGGGCGCGTCGTGTGCGCACAGAGGATGAGACATGGGCTTTAATCCGAGCATCACGAACACCTCTGATTTAT